ATTCCACTTCACATGGGTTTTTCAAGTCAGAATGAGGGGTAAGGCAAGGAGATCCTCTATCTCCTGCATTGTTCATCCTAGCTCAAGAAACCCTTTCTAGACAGCTCCACAAACTGACAGAGGAAAGGCATCTTATACCTTATCACACGGGTAGAACAAATGTGGTGATCTCGCACTTGTTTTTTGCTGATGATATGCTACTTTTTGGTAATGGTTGGAAAAGGAACATAGACAGGTTACTAGCTCTTCTGCAGGAGTATTTTAGGGCCAGTGGACAAAAGATAATTATCAGTAAAAGTTCCTTTATATGCAGTAACAAACTTCTTGCAAACAGAAAGGCTATGATTGCGAGGTGGACTGGATTTTCAATGGTAACAGGGGTGATGAATTACCTGGGGATGCCTCAATTCAAGGGCAGGCCATGAATTGCTTATTTCTCAAAAATCGAAGACATGATCAAAGACAAAGTGGCAGGCTGGAGAGGAAGATTGCTTTCAATAGGGGGAAGAATCACTCTAATTCAAAGTGTTCTTTCTTCCATTCTCGCATACATCATGGGAGTTTTACCAGTTCCAAAGACAATAATCAATAGAATTCAATCACATATCTCCAATTTTTTTTGGAATAATGGTGATGATAGCAGGCACCATTGGGTGAATTGAAAATCTATCTCCTATCTAGTTCAAGAAGAGCGTCTTGGAATTAGGAATCTACATAAGGTACTACATTCTCTAAAAGGGAAACTGGCATGGTCTTTCCTATCATCTTCATCACTGTGGAGTTCTTACATGAGGGCAAAGTATGGAAACCCAAATTCAACAATGCAGCTTAATCAAAGGAAAGGCTCACTGGTATGGAGAATGTTAATTCTTGACATTTGCTATCTGATAGAGTACTCATTATGGAAAGTAGGAGCAGGAAATATCAGCCTATAGAGAGATAAATGGACAGTATCAGATCTCCTTATGCCTACAGAAAACTTGAATGTCACGCTAGATGAGGCAAAGCTCAATAAGCATGTATTCTTAAACCTCCCTATTGTGATTCAAAATGAATTAAGCAGCGTCGTTATTCAGGAGGATGAAGAAGATATGAGAATCTACACTGGATCCAAATCAGGGAAATTCTCTTCCAAAGTCTACCACGAGGAAAGAAGAAGCAAGAACCATCACTTCCAATGGTGGCGCAGCTTATGGAATAACTGGATACCAAAGAAGATTGGAGTGTTAGTATGGAAAATATTTCATAATGCTTTAGCAGTTGAGAAAAACATACAAACATGTGGCATATCCTTGGCCTCAAAATGCTCCTGCTGCAGTAAGCCGAAAGAAGAAACAGTTGCACATCTCTTCCTGCATGGGGGGTAATCAACGGAGTGTGGAATTTTTTGGGAGATTACTGGATGCAACAGGAGAAGTAAACACTTTTCATCAATTGGTAGGAAGTTGGTTCACAAGAGGTAAACCTCAATCACAGAAACAGTTTGCGAGAATGGTAATATGCAATTGTCTGCTTTGGGAAATATGGCTAGCAAGGAATAAATCAGTTTTTGAGGAAGTATGTATGCATAAACATGGCATAAGGTGCAAGGTTATTAAATGGTTATCCGACTTATCTTCTCTTTTTAGACCTTCGGTTAGGCTATGCTTCCTTGATAAAATAAGCTTAGAGGCTTTGAGTGTGAAAGTAAGCCAACCAATAATTAAGCAAGGATGTTAGATCAGATGGAAGCATCCTCCAAGAGGAAAATTTAAGCTCAACACAGATGGATCCTCCAGGAATAGTCAATGCAGTGGAGGGGGAATTTTGAGAGATGACAAGGGGAATATGATCATGGCATTTTTTAGTCATTATGGTCTCGGTTCAAGCTCTAAAGGAGAAGCGTTGGCTCTGTTGCAAGGAGTAAAAATCTATGCCAACCTAAACCTTATCATGGACATAATAGAGGCAAATTCTGCTTTAATTCTAGTGTGCCTTAATGCTAAACATGCATGCCCGTGGGAGTTGGTATATACAATAAGGGAATGTAGGAATCTTATACATCCTCAAATGACCATTTGACATACGTATAGGGAAGGCAATATGGTAACAGATCGACTAACAGATTGGGCGTATCAACACATCTCTCAAAAGGTCATCCGTAACTTCTCATATTTGCCTACTCATTGCAGGAATGCCATATCAGATGACAGATTAGGTCTACACAATTATCGAAAGTAATCCTCCCTTGAGAATTAGGTAAATAGTATAGCTGTCAAAATTTGTCTTTAGGTTGTGTGTAATTTGGATTTGCTGATATAGCAACAAAGTCTTATTTTCTTTCAGGGGTTAGACCTCCTTGTCTTCCCAAATTTATGGGCTAGGCCAGACTGTTCCCCCCTTGTATCCATTATTATTATTTTTTTTCCTTATTAATAAAATTTATCAGGGTACCGCCCCTGTTTCCCCCCCCCAAAAAAAAAAAAAAAATTATGCTACACATAAGATTGTGCAGTATGGCCATGATGTATTAAAAAAAAAATCATTAGTTTTATTAAATATTAATTATGCATCTATACACATAACATCAACTCGTTTGTTATTAATTCTTTTTGTTGATATTCTAAAATTAGTTTATGTCAAATGAAATACATAAAATAATATTTTAGAAAAACCACCTAATAATTCAAATATTTTATTTTAATATATATATTAAATGTACATATTTTTAAAAAGTTATTCTTCTTATCAGCATTAAACAACAATTAAAAAAAAATTCACTTGTTAAATTTTATAAAAAAATTTATATTAATAGTTGTTTTATTTGTTCGATACAATCTTATGAAAATAATTATTAAGATTTAAAAAAAAAAATTATATTAAAATTCTATTTAGATTATTGTAGATTTTTATTCGAAAATAAATACTCAAGGAAGAAGAGATCATGTTTTTTTAAGTATAAAATTTATGAAAAACCTAAAAATAAATTAAATACAAAATTTTGATTAAAAATTAGGAAATTAGATAAATTTTTTCTTTTATCTTTAATTTATATATCATAACTAACCCATTGCATAGTGTAAGTTATTAAAGTAAAATAAATATATTTTATTCAATCCATAATATATCATAAGATGCGAACTAGTAATAAAAAATCATAACATAGGAACAAATAGAACCAAATCGATATATTACAATAACAATTTGGTGCTTCAACTTTCTGAAAAAAGAAAAGAGGCCTGAATGATGATCTCTCTGCAAAGTTATTATTAAATATTTGAAGTGTGAATTTTTTATTTCAACGTCTCGCATTTTAGTTTTGCTATTAGATTGTGCGAATTTTTCAATTTAATATTCTCAAATTAACAGACACATCATTAGTTAATAAAAAAATTGATAATAGTATTTAATTGATAATTTAAAAATATTAATATATTCAAATAAAAATATAAAATTCATATACATAATTGAGAAAAAAAAATTGATGTATTTAACGTTCAATCATCACAAAAATCAAAGGGACGAAAGGATGACATTGCCTAAGGCAGATTATGTTTGTGGTTAAAAATCCAAAATATTCTTATACTGTTGTAAATATCTTAATCGTATCTCTCTATTAAATTTTTCAATAATCGTGTCTCTTTATTCTTAATTTACATTTGTATTTAGTTCCTTCGGTCACTTTTTTAAGCAACGGAGACGATTTCTGATTTAAGAGTAACATGACGCTCACACGTGATATTAATTTTTTTTCACTCTCAATTTCGAATAACAGTAAAGAGGTAAATGAAATGAAAAAAAAAAAAAGCAAAATTACCCCCACCTAAAAAACCCTTATATCCCCAATGTTTCATCCCAATTCTAACCTAAAGCTAAATTTCTTTCTCCTTCTTCCCTCAATTAACAATCAAAAGTCAGAACACAGCCGTTAGTTCTTATTCTTCATTTTTTGATCAGGAAACCTACAAGTTCTTCTTCTTCGTTAATTTGTGAGGGAAGCTCTGTATGATATGGACTTTAAGTCAGATATTCACATATCTGCCAATAGCGTGTGTATATATATTAAAAAAAAAAAGAAGAAGTTAATTCTGCTCTATTTTATTTGACACTGGAATTGGCATTAAAAACAATAAAAAAGGACGTTCACATTACAGATTTTATCGAGGCGAGACCGGAGATAAGGAAGCAGTTTCTTCCATTCCTTGCTTGTCCTCCCATTAGCCCCTGTTGCGAACAATAATTGCTTATTCTAATCTCAATTTTCATTGGAAACAAACAAAGAACAAAAGAAAGAGAAATTTTAAAAAGAAAAACCTAGGAGGTTGACGATGAAAAGGAGGTCACGGCAGGGAGAGGAGAAGGAGGAAGAGCCATCGTGGAAGATCGAAGGGTCAGGAGAGAGATCAAAAGCCATGGGATTGGGATGATCTGCTTTGAGAACACGAGGAGGCTTTAATTTTGATTTTACAGGAAAAGAAGATGCGGCCCCAGCTGCTATTACTCCTCCCAAAGCAATCTGACAGTAACACGCCCTCTTTTCTTCACGTGTGAGGGAACAACATAGATATGAAGGTGATGGTTTTTTAAGTGGGGCAATTTGAGATTTTATTTTCATTTAATTTATTTTTTACTAATATTTGAAATTGGAAGGAAAAAAAATTAATGTTACACACTCTTAAGTCGAAAATTGTCGTTGTTGTTTGAAAAAAATAATCGAAATGATCAAATGAGCAGATGCAAATTAAGAATAGAGGGATGTGATTATTAAAATATTTAATAGAGGGATATGATTAAACTATTTCACACAGTAGAGGGATATCATGAGCCTTTAACTCATTATGTTCGGGATGAAATTGATAATATTAGACGGTTTGAGACTTAATTGGTAATAGGTTCATACATTTGGGACTACATTAGGTTTCCCCAAATAAAATCAACTCCCTAAACCTGTTTTCCTCCCTCTCCTTCGACTCAGTACTCCCTCTACGTATCATTAACCTCCAGCTCCAGAAAAAGCAGAAATGGATCATCATCATCAGCAGCAATTGCTCTTACAACAGCAACAACAACAGGTGCAACAGCAGCACCAGCAGCAGCAGCAACATCAACATCAACAACAATTCCTCTTGTTACAGCAATTAACGAAACAAGCCCAACAACAACAACAAGCTGCTGCAATTTCACGATTCCCTTCCAATATTGATGCCCACCTGCGTCCACCACCCATTCAGCGCCCACTCACTCTTCAACAACAAAACCCCAGTCCTAGCCCTAACCCTAGCCCCAACCCCAACCCCAACCCCAGCCCCAATTTGCAGCAACAGCAAGGGGCCAATTTGGGTCAAAATGCGCAGCATTCGCAGCAGCAACAGCCGCAACAGCAGCAGCAGCCGCAGCAGCAAAAGGGGATTCGGCCTCAGGTGAACCAGGTGGAGCTCCAAATGGCTTACCAGGATGCTTGGCGTGTTTGCCATCCAGATTTCAAGAGGCCATTCTCTTCTCTTGATGATGCTTGCGAGAGGTTTTTTCAATTCCCTCTCTAATTTTTTGTTTTTATATAACTCAATTTCGTATTTCCAGGGGTGGTTTGCATGTGGGTATTGCATTTTCTGTTTGATTTTTGTGAAATATGGGAATTTATTTATTCATTTCTTTATTTTTGTGGAATGGAATATTGAATGACGTGAAATGGCATGGAGATTGTGATTCGTAACATTTGATATGCGGTAATGGCGTAGTTGCTTTTGTGGGGTTGGATTTTTCTGTACTGCAACTAGTTATGTTGGGATCCGTGTATGACTATCATTGGAGTTTGATCACATTTTATTTGGCATCATGTGGTAAAGAACCCGCTTTATTTGAGCAAGATCACCTATACTACTTTGAAGTTTACTGTTGTTTGGTATTATGAGAATTGTTATTTGGTTTTATTGTTAAAAAATGCATATGTTTTTGTAGGAGATCAGTTCTTCATCGTATGATTGATTAGAGACTGATAAACTTTAAATGCATGTAGACGGAACAATTTGATGGGAGTTGCCATGTGGCGCTTTTGTCTTGATGATTAGGGTGCTTTTTGCTTATTCACACTTCATTACATGTGGCATAGAAAGAGATGTAATTCTTTGTTATGTTTTCCCCACAAATTGGAGATAGAATTGGATACAAGTTAAATTGTGATCTATGGTGTCTGGATTTATGTTTTTGCCAAATGGCGTGTAGAACTCTGGCTAGTTATTTTCTTTTTCACATGCTTGTGATCTTTTTTTCCACCCCCCCCCCCCCCCCCCCCTTTTTCTAGCATAGCTAGAAAATTAAAATAACATGGAAAAAAACAGAAAACATTTGTTGTAAGAGATGGTTATTTTCTCTTTCACTGAATGCAACAGTTGAAACTATACTGTCTGCTATGGCAAAAACTGTGAAACATTCCTGTCTTTCGAAACAAATACCAACTCTGAAAATTTTCAGTTTGTTTTTTACTAGAAACTATTGATTGATGCATGCCTCTGTGTCTCCTGGTTTCTGTAGGATGTATCGGTATAGCATCATTTAATATGCATGATGTGTGCGGCTCATCATCTAATGTGCATAGTGTGTATGTAGCTTCTGTAGTGGAATTTGGAAGCACAAGCTGAAAGGTTTTGCTGGTAAAGGCAAAGGAATAAAAAAAAGAAAAACTTGAAAAGCGAATGCTATCGTAAACGACATTCATATTCATGTTTATTTATACACAACTTTTCAACTTATATGCAGTACACAATGATGCACTTCCTAACACTTCCTCTCAACCCACATTTATGCACCAAAAAAAAAAAAGCTAAAACATTATATATCAAATGAAAAGGTTTGCACATACTCTGCAAATTATGGAAACTCAATATGAGAAATTCTATGTGGTGATTTGTGGTTCCTCAATCTGTTCCGTGCACATAACTTGTGTTATCCTGTATTCATATATATTTGACATCAGTTTGTCAAAGCAGGGGATGTATTTCATTATCAACAGAAACAAAATTTGGTCTTCTTATTTAATTGTAGTTTGTGGAATCCACCTGCATCCTGTAATTCTTCTCTTTTTTTGTGATTTCTTGCTCTTCGGTTATTGGAATCCAGTGTAACAACTTCATATTTCAATAAAGTCTTACATAGCAGTCATTCTTTTTGTGCTGTTTTGGCAGTAGAAAGTGGTGTGCCTTTTTTGTAAGCAATACTAAGTGGCCAGCATGAGCAAAGTTTGCTTTGTATATGTGTATTCATGTATTTACCTTGAAGTATCCAAGAAGTATCAATGTCTAATACTTTTTTGAGTTGGATACAGTTCCTTCTGCATATGTTTTGTGCTACTTGAGCTGCCAACCACATACAGGTTTAGTTTGTTAAAACCTAAAATCAAGTGGGGGGAGGGGATGTGCAAGAGAAGACAGTTGATAATGCACACCAGTTTTTACCTTTTTGTTGATTTTTTGCTTTGCAATTTTGTGTCTAATACAGGTTAGGAGTTTTAGGTAGATAGTTTTTCAACTCAATAAATGGGTGTTAGCCCCTTGGAACCTTCTCATTTATGCTATTCCAGCACTCTTTGTTACGATGTGAAATTTTTCTTATTCTAAATTATTATAGTCGACGGAAGCAAAAAGCATGCCGATAGTTTTCCATCTTATGAAATACATACACCTGCAACCTTCATGTCTTGCACTTTTATTTTTCCTTGTGACATGAAACTAGATTTGTTGTGTTACCTCAGAGATATATTAGTGAGCACTTGTATTTGAGGATTTACTTTGTGATTTCAAAATTTTGTTTGGCAAATTGAATTTCTTTCTTCAATTAAAGAGGAAAATAATTAAGGGAGTGATGGGATATAGTGCCCTCCATTACTTGTAGATGGTACTTCTCCTACACAACACTGAATTTAATTGGGATATAAAGTAGTATAGTTGAGCACCACTGGTTGGATGAATAACTTCCACCATGACTTTTACAAATTTTGCTCTTAATTCATTTCTCCTTTCCTCTTGCAAAATGTACGCAGATTACTGCCCTACCATGTAGTGGCAGACTATGAAGCTGAGGAGGATGATAGAATTCTTGATTCTGACACAACAGGCCAGATGCCATCTCGTTCACAGCAGTGGGATCATAACATTGCTGCCAAAGTTGCAGAGTTCACAGGCACATTTGAGAAACAGGCTTTGGCCTTCAACATAATAACCCGCAAGCGTGCCTTGGGAGAATTCCGATCTGAAGAGAGATTGATGATTGAGCAGGCTCTTCTCCAAGAGGAGAAGCGACTGCTGCTCGATTTGAAAGCTGAAATGGATGCCAGGGAGAAGGCTGGTCGGGAGGCTCAGTTACGAATGGCAGCCTTGGTTCAGGCCGAGCAAGCTCGGGCAGAGTCACATGCTCGTGCTGAAATGATGTCTCGGGCCCCAATAAGGGCAAGTGCACTCGGATCTCAAGGCAACAGTGTTCCAATTGGTCATGACATGGGAGAGCAGGAACATGGTGTTAACCCAGATGAGATGATGAATGGGTGGGTAGGCAATGCTCAGAGAGATGAGAAAGAGCCTTCTGAAGATTTCTTGAATGATGAGGAGACTGAAAATGGGGACACAGCAGTACATGGTGACTGGAGAGAAGTGGGAGAATTTGATCTGAACACCAGATGAACCATGCAGAGTTATCAGCAGGAAAGAATGGTGATGGTTGATTTCTATCTTCATGGCATGATAATGACCAAATGGCATCTGATTGTGATTCTCTTTCTGGAAAGTACGAAGAACCAGCTCCAAGGCAGCTGGGTAATACAATGTTGTAATTTCTAAATGCTAATGTTCTCCCATGGCTTTGTTAGGCAAGCTTGCTCAAAGCACATGTGAGATGTGCAAGACTTCCTTGTAGGTAAACCTTGAAGTAACCTCATGTATATGTAAGGGTTCAACGCTATTTCCATGCTATGCTAATTTCAGCAACAAGCAGAAGGTTTCCAATAATTTCAGTCATTCTAATGGAAAAGATAAGTGTTTCTGTTTATTTTGGGTTTTTTTTTTTTTTTTTTTTCATTTTTTCCCGCCTGCAGATGTGCTATTCATCAATTAAAGGGAAATTATGGGATATGAAATCTTACATGCATCTCCAGTATAGTTCATATGCTTCGATGAAAGAGGAGGATTGATTTTAAAGTGTGTCTGAATGTAAACTTGCATGGAAACTAGCCATACACATTGTATTCTTGCATGCACTCCGAAGCTCCTCGGACTCGTTTTCAGTAGTAGCTGGTTTTCTGTATATATCAGATGCCAATTGTACAAAGGATAACTGTGGAAATAATCCAACTTAATCTTTGATCTTTCGATTTTTAAATTTTGGTTTTTCAATCTGTTAGGTCAAAACAATACACTGCCTTCGGAAGGCTTCCACACATTTACTTCGTTAAGCAGCATGTGACGTGCATGTATAAAACTATTTTCCTCCATTTTTTTTTTTTGAAAAATCCATTCACTCTGCCGTTTTTGACTTGTCTCACTAAAAAAAGCTTGACCTAACTTAATTTCTTCTCTCTCCTCAAAACAATGCACCGCCTTCGTAAGGCTTCAATATATTTATTTCGTTGATTCCTTAGTTTTTATTGTATGGGTTTGTCTTATTCCATTCTTTATTGACGAGATAATCGCGATTTGCCTCAACCTGAAGTAATTTCTTTATTGCACATTCTTTCTATTTATGGATAATTAAAACAAATGGTCTTAAGCGCTTCGATTTTTTTCTTCTAACATTAAAGTTATTTTCAGGTCAGGTTACATGTTAAAAGAGACTAAATCACTCTCCAAGCTATTCAGTGCATTAAGAAAAAATTAATAAATTGTCCTAGATGCTGGTCCTAAATCTTTTTTTTTTTAAAAAAATAAAAACTCTTTATTAACCACCAATCAATTCCTTAGAGATTAAATGATCAAATTTTGCATTTGTCTCTCAAATTAAATGCCATAGTTATTTTACCAAAAACTTTCTACCTCTCGCAAGGATTCATGTTGGCTGTAACGCGAGCACGGAATAAATAATTTACAATGACACTTTGCACAGTCCACTTCACGTCCTCAATGAACGAGGGCTGTTTTTACAATAAAAAATAAAAAAAGTAAGAAGCAAATCTGCCGACTGCCAGTGGAAACTTGTTTTCAGATTTTGTATAAAGGTAATTTAGATACTTGCCAACCAAAAGATAGTCAATTACAAAGAAGATTTACTTCTGCCTCTTTCTTTCTCATCTCCAACACGCACACTTTTGAACAAGCAAAGAAAATGCATCAAACATTCTAAGCTAAGCCACAAGAAATTTTATAAGAAAGGAGAAAAAGAAGCTTCTCCGAAACTTTGGAACGTAGAATCAAAGAAAAGAATGAGGAAAACGAGCAAGAATACACATATCCTAACATTGCCTACAAAATATTAGGGAGCTGCGAATCCAATCTGTGCTGCAGTTCCTTAATCTTCAAGGAAAGCTCTGACTTATGCTCCTTGTAGCTCTGCAACAAGTACTCTTTCCCTTCTATCACTTCCTTCAACTCACCTACTTCCCTCTTCAGCATCTCAATCCTCTCGCCATCTCCCCTTCCCTTTTCCAATGACTCAAAATTGCTGTCCCTCTCAAGATACCCATTTGCATGACCATTTCTTGCCTCAGATGGCCATGTTGTAGCTGCTGATGGTTTGTCACTGGCGCCCACATGATTCACACAGTGATCAGCAATTGCCTTCCTCAGCCTCTGGATTTCCCTTTCAGAATCAAACAAATCCCTGTTGGCTGCATCAACCTGTGATTGCAAATTTGAAGAAAGTGTCAGCTGAGCATTGAGTGAATTCTGTAATTCCAGAATCTGATCCTGCATCTCCAGTATCATATCGTCTCTCCTCTTCAATTGCTGCCTCAGCTTCTGTATAACTTCTCGTTTGCTGAAGATGTCAGAACCAGAGTCTGAGACACATGGTGAGTCAGAGCAGTTTGAATGGTGGAATGGCTTTGGAGGCAACTCAAGGCGATCAGGAGATGATATCCACATAACACCATTGTCCTTGGTGAATTCTGCAGCAGGAACCGTCACCAAAGGTAGAGCAACGTCTGATTCAGATATTATCTGGTCATTGGACTGGTGCTTCACATCTGGAATGCCTTCAGTCCCTGTTTCAAACCCAAATTTACATATGAAAGAGTGGGAAAAAGTCTTCTGGTAACATGGATAACATTGTAAAATAACATGTTCTATGATTGTCTAATAAAGCAAATACATAACTCAACTATGTTTCAAAATCCAAACTAGCTGGATTGGGTACATGGATCTGTTTTTTTCCCATAAGTTTCTGCTTATGGCACTTCTTTGCCCTGGATCTGTGACATGGAAAAGATGCAGCTATTATGTTTTTTCTTTTCTTTTTTTTCGTGGGGTAGGAGTTTCATATCTGCAAATGCTATCCCCTATTCCAATCTACTGTCAATTTCATCAGGACTTAATTCCACTGTTCATTCATCTTTCCCTCGTACTGATAATTACGAAAATCACATAGATGGGTTGTGATAAAGCATTGCAAAATTAGGGGAATAAATGTCAAATTATAGGAAGAGAAGCATTGACCATGAAACATATCATGCTTATCCCTATTTGTAGGGGAAAAGGAAAAGAAATGCAAGACAAACAAGTGTCAATTAAACAGAGAAAAAAGGTTGGGTTCGTACATCCGGGACAGGTCTGCATAGGATTTATATGTACATACAACAACAGAAATTTACCATTCATCATTTCCTCTCACCTAATAGTAACATTACCGCCTCTCACAATCCCTCCCCTCCCCCCAACCCAAGGTAGTGCCACAAGTAAGAAATGAACATATATTCAGAGGCTGAGGAATTGCACTGAAATGTAGATGCAATGCAAAGTGATGATGTCATGTAATTACAACTAACCACTACCTTCCAGAATATATATCACAAGATATCCAAAAACAGGCTATCAAACATTTGAATTGAAGTATCAGCATTCTCTCTCTAACCATTTGGCAGCAAGAATAAGAAAGATTGCCATACCTGAAATGCAGTTGAAGCAACCATCATCATCTTGTGTAAAGGAATACAAGTTCGAATGCATATTGCAACCTGGTGACCTCCTCCTGTCAGATGATTTCACGTTCCCTGTATTGTTCGAACTCCATAAGTTATGGCCAAGTTCGTATTAAAGACATCTAGCTGATGAAGAAAACAGTACTACACCTTTCAGGCCATTACTAGCATTTGCCTGTTGTTTTGAGTCAAGTGTCTGCTTGAGCTTGTAACCAAGGCGAATTGACAATGTACTTAACAAGGCACCACCTGCAATAAGAATCCAATTTGGTCTCTCACCCTGAAAATTTTGTGCCTTCTGACCTCTAGAAGTCCCATTAGTTCTTGGTTTCATTTTAAGAGCAAGTAAGGAGCCTGAGAACACACTGGATCATCCAAATATGACCTACATAAGCAATGCATCAAAATTCCATCGCATAGACATACTAGGTGAAAACACATCAGGAAGCAACAAGATTCCTAGATTTCAGCATTTCCTACAGACACATGTGCATACAAAATTACATACACATATAAAGGTGTGTGCTTGTATATACGTAATTCAACAAAAGCAAGCGAGAACAGCAAATCAAATATAACAAAGACAACATGTCCATCTATTAAATGATAGTTGCAGTCCAATACAAACAATGCCGAAATCAAAGAACCAAGTTAAGGTAAATGCAATCAGCACTAGCCTACAGAGCACATGTCCACGACATGGGCATCCAAAAACCCAACCGCATCTACAGTTCCAAACATATTAAATGTTTGTTTATATATTTTCCTGTTATTCTGGAAAGGGCTGAGCTAAAGCTTTAAACTTGTCCCATCTTGCATGCTCTATCAAAGTACCACGGGCTAAGCACGCAATAATACACATGAGTAAATGGAGCATATAGACTGACCTCTTGCTTACCTATCAAGAAACATACAAATTACTACACATAAAACACATCAATTACCTGAGAAGCTAGCGATTTTCCAACTTCCAAAAGTAAAATCCAAAAGGATACTCATATTTACATTGTTTGAACCACTCTTCGTATCCAAAATTGGCATATAAAAAAAAAAAAATTGTATTACCTTCAACTGGCTATCAAAACAAGCAAATAACAGACAGAGTCTGTCAGATTCACACACAGTTTTCCTCAACAAAAAATAATACAGTAAACATTAATGAAGAAATTGATTCCGCAGTCACTTCATTTTGAAAAATAGGGTTGATACGCAATAAACCCATCTCAATCCAAATCCAAACAAAAGCAAGCCTAAGAAATTTCGAAATTAGAACCATCAGTACCTTAAAAAAACAATAGTAAACAGCTAAACAATTCATTTACTCACATTCTTAAACCCAAAAGCAAACACAAAAAAGAGAAAGGAGACAGGGTTTAGTCAAATGAAGACGCAATGAATCTGCTGCTTCAAAATCGATAATCCCAAACTCAAACTGAAAGACAAACCTACCTCATTCAATACAATCGATTATTAAGGTGTAGTCATTTCTCTAAAACTCCGCTGAAACCGCCGTTTTTAACTTCTTTTACCATTTCTCCTCTCTCTCTAAAACCTAACGCCCACACTAAAATACCTGAACACAAAAAAGAAAAAGAAGAGAGAGAGGGGGTTTTTGATTTGGCGGCTTTTGGGATTTCGCCTTTTTTTATTCTTCATTTCTTTTCTAAGCAATTAATAATATTATTTTACAAGGGGCTTTCGGCAATTTTCCAAGGTTTACCCTTGCCACGTCATCGATTAACGTTGCCCTTTCTCTCTCTCTCTTTTTTTCTTCATTTTTTCCTTCGATAAAAAAATTTAGAGACTTTTTGTTTTTTCTTTTGATATAATTTCTATTTTGTCACTTGCGTTTATGTTAAATATATTAATTTCATTTCCATAAATTTTAAAATATTTAAAATCGATACATTTTGAGAAAAAAATAAAAATTACATTGAATTACTAAAAATAATAAAAATATTTTCATCTCGTTTTTTTTTTTTAATTTTCCTCCTACTTTTCTATTTTTGTTGTGCCTTTTTTATTTATGAACAAGTATTATTAGTTATAAGATAAAAAAATTTGTAAATTTCCTTCTTCTTTTTTTAATTAATTTCCCTTATAATGGAGAAAAATCAATAACAGCCTCTATCTTTGTTAATGAAAAATTGGCCTAACATAAAATTGATGGAAATTGGCGGCCTTTATGAATTGTCCTGATTTAGAACATTTTTCTCACTCTGCAGAAAAATTGATAAAAAATGAAACACAGGGGAGCATTAAAGTAATTAACTTTTTTGGGTAATATAGATAGGATATCTGTTTCGTTTTTGGTTGGTTTAGTTTCTCTCTTTGCCGAGTTAATGATTGATTTTCGATGGAAAGGAAAGGTTTACCAGGGGGAAAAAAGAAAGGGCCAACATCTAGATGTGACTTGATTTTGTTTCGTTTGAAAAGGGCAAAGGGAAAGGAGTTGATTGGAAGAGTATGATGGGTCACGTTGGCAAACTTTTTAATACATGTTCAAAGCCATTATTACTCCACTACCAATTTTAGATAGCTTCCAAAGAATGCTAAATAATTAGAATCATCCATGTGTACTTATCTCACTCAATAATTAGAATTATCTATGTGTACTTATCTCACTCTCCGTAGCATTTTCAATTCAAATTCAAATCTTATATTTGTTTTTGTAAAGAATCCATATATATATATCTTTGGATCAATTTTCACATTAATCAACATTCAATCTATTACTTCTTAAATTAAATCAGTATTAGATCATGTCTAACTTTATTAAAAAAAGATATTTGTACAAATTAAAATCACAAACTACAAGTTTCAATTCTTTTTTCTTTTTATGCAATTAAAACTAATATCAATCAATTGATAATAATTAATGCAGAAATAAATAAACACAATCATAATCAAAACATGAATTTTTATGTGAAAAAGTTCGATCGAAGTCTAGTTAAACTCTTTCACCATATTAAATAATGAGATATAAGGTTTTTTCTAATTTAACTAGAGGATGCAAATTAAAACATTGAATTTAGTACTCAAAAGATAGATTCTAACAACAAAAACAAAGAAAATGGTTAGATCTCACCAATTAGAATTTTAAAAAATACCTAAAGCTAGAAACTTTTTAATAATAAACACCATTCAAATTGAAGAGTTTGTCACCGAAGACAACATATAAAAAATTAATTTTCATTGAATTTGTATTTATTGTTTGATCAAGGATTAAAGGTGAAGAACACATTACTCTTTCTTCTCTCTCTCTCTCAAAGTCTTTTCTCTCTTTTTCTTTTTGTTTATTAGGCTACTCCACATCTATAAAAGAACTATAGTGTTTCTTTTATAGTCACATGGGGATGGAGTTTTTTGCCAAATTCCTTACTCCCCTTTCCTCCTTTTTGTTTTCTTTCATGTAATTTTATTATTTTATTATTTTTATTTTTATTTTTATTTTTTGTGTTTAGTGTATTCTTGTCTTTTCCTTTAAACTTAGGGTTTAAACTCACTCAAAACTCGTCCAAATATCCTCTTTTAAATGCTTGCATGAAACTAACTTCTTATAACCTTTTGGGGATAGTTTTTTTCAAAGCTTTTTAATCAAGTTTTGACTTTTGATTTCGCAAGATTAATCTACATCCTTCACATCTCTAGCTAGAAGTTGCTCTTTTCTTTAGTTGCGACGGTGGTTCAAATGGTGTGTGTTTTGGAAGAGATTTTGACTTAATTTTATAGGTATTTAACTTAACTTTACATTGATTTTTGTTAGTGAAGGACAATACTTTTTGTGTTGAAAATAGAGTACCATAGTACCTAAAAGGGTTGGCTTGAGTAAAAGTGACTCTAGTCGTTTAAACAAGTAGTTTTGGATTCGAGTCCTTGTATACAAAAAACTCTATAAATAGTTGTCTTCGTCTTATGCATCCGACAAAACAACGAGACTCGGGTCTTTGAGTATGGGATACCTTGAAGAATAAAAAAAACATAAAGTACCATGACAAAGAGAGTGTATGGCATGTTTTGGGATAGGATGCGTTAGAGAGAGCTTTAAAGGGGTGTTTTATGGGATAACAACATGGTTGGAAAAAAGTAAGATAAAATGCATTATGAAAGATGATGAGCAACATAAGGAGAAATATCGTTGTTTTACCTCGCGAGACTTATTATTATTTTTCATTTCGATTGATTCAAAACAACGTTGTTTGGTTTAGTTAATGATTCTTTGTTCCTCAATTTCTTTATCTTTTTCATTTTGGTCTTAGTTTTTTTCTTTTTCCTTTTGTTTATTTCATTTTCCCTCATATATTTTTTAAAATTTTTGAAATCATTGTTTATGAATTTTGTTATGATAAAAAATAAATTATGACATTACTAAGGGATCATTATGATTAGATTTCTTGCTCCAAACCAAAAGGCTTTATAACACCGGGTTCTCAATGCTCTTTTGATATTTTCTCTTTCTATGCTTTCTCTTATCATTTTATTTTCTTATCTATTGGGGTCCTTATCTTTAATCCCCTATTTTGCCTTATTTTTGTTCCCGAATTTACCTTAGTGTTTTAACTATCACAACACACACACACACACACACACACTTGGCATGCTCTTAGTTTTTCACTTCATTATATGTAAAGAAATGCAAATAGTGACACAAACACACATAGTGCTATAAGTTTTTTCCCGCATTACATTGCGGGGTTAGACGAAATATGTAATATCATGTGAATTGTTTTTTTCAATTTGATAGTCTATGCTATACTATGGATCTACCAAAATATATCAAATAAAAAATAAAAAAAAATCATTCAATTTTATGATTTATTTTATCAAAATTTTGTGTTCGACTAATTATTCATTATGTTTTCATAAATTTTCTCGCTAAAAACTATGATTTATTTTTTTAATCCAAATTATTAACTAAAAAATTATAATAATCTAAAAAAATTAAAATCTAAGGTTTCTTAATTAAAAAATTATTTTGTAAATTATATATATATATATATATATATATTTTTGTAAAAATCTAAGATAAATCTAAAAAACACGTTTAATCTTTAGATTAAATTTATATATAGACACAATCATGCTAATATCATTTCAAAGAATTCATCATATAAATTATATCAATTTGTTGAAATAATTATATTCTAAAATTTAATTCAATAATTCACACATAGAGAAAAAAATCATATTTATCGAGTAAATAAAATTTACATAAAAAAATTAATTGGATGACAATATCCATAAGAAATGACAAATTAAAGGAATAAATTTTAAATAATAAGAGTAATATAATATGAAATATATGTTTATTTTAAAATATAAAAACATATCCTA